GGAGTATGATGTATTGCGTCCGCACTTAGATGGGTATGCATGACCTAGTGACAGCTAAAACAGATAGTAACATGAATACATAAAAGCGGAAGGAAACACGAACTATTCAGAACGAAAAATGAGACTGAAGATGACATAATGCCGAGACCGGTTTGTCTCCAAACCAAATTTGACAAGGGATGACGGAAAATCGTTCCACAATACATCAATGGTATAATCGTTCTCACCAAAATGAACATGACATGGTTTCAATTGATTTTAACAGGTTTGTAAGTATTAAAAGGATCGATATCTTCATTAGAACTGAATTGCTATTGGCTCCGAGGCAGCTCAAGGTACTTACTCTCTATCTGCCAGTTTAAACGGCGTTATCACAAGATAGCCATTGCCGATATCACGTTGTGAAAATAAGCCTCCAGCGGTTTCACTTCCATCCGGGCGTATGAATGAACGAGGTCCCATAATAAGTTCCTTATTATGTATAAATTTTCCACGCACAGCGACCAACCGATACTCCATAGCAGACACCTCGCTAAAGCTGAAAGAAGACAATTGAACTTAGTAATAAAGGCAATAATTTTAGTTTAATTATATATGCATCATTACTCTGTGGGTAGTGGTACTGGTGACATTTTGGTTTGAAGCTCCAAGTTCCTGATTAATTGCTCTTTCCATGCTTTGCGTTTCACTTGCCAGCACCCTAGACCAAATGTAGACACTGGGACAAGCTGATATTCAGGAAATATGAATAACTGCTATAAAATTAATAAACTCTGGAGAATGCGACTTACCAAGAGGAACCAGCCAAGAGGTGTTATTTTTTTGTTGCTATCAATCCGGATGGTAGCGGTGCCAGTCCCACCAGTCGATTGCCATTTTCGATGAACCAAAGAAAACGTGTTTGACGTAGGCAGCTTCCCAAATGGATTTGCAATTAATTTTGTTGAAACGCTGTGTTTTACAAATGTTTTTGCAGCGAGTCGCAGCATAATTTATTTATTTTTAATTGCACAATGGTAAATAGACTAGCGGTTAACGATCAGCTGATAAAAATGTTGCCATAGCATAAGGCCAGTACGCAGCTCTCAAGAAAAGCAAAAACTCCATGCAGCATTGCCGAATTGACGATTTCGTCATCATTTTGACACTTTTTTTTAGCTCAATGACGTTTTGACGATTTTTCCCTCCGTAATGACGATTTTTTATTTTAGTTTTTCCACCTAATTTCCAGAGAACGTTAAATACATCGCAAGCGAGATATAGTTTTGTTGACTAGGCATTTGACAGCATACTTTATCATTTGTAAAATGTCGCCAATAAAGAAGATTCGCTTTTCAGACCAAATTTGTATTTTCCACCAAAATAAACGATGTTTCTACTCTGAAGAATTCTGCGAAATAAGAAAATACTTGTCAAACAACAAAAAAGATAGTTGAAAGCAGACGAGATCTCGCAATGCGAGAAAAAGTATGCTACGTACTTTTAGCGGTCTATAATTGTATGATTTCGAATGCGTCACCTTTTATGCGAGATTTTCCACCACGGGAAGATGGTCAGTTACCGGCCGTCTTCACATGCTTGAAAATCTCGCTTGCGTTCTGCTTTTTTCTCTCGCAAGCGAGATAGAGTTTTGTTGACTGGGCATTTGACAGCATACTTTTTCATTTGTAAAATGTCGCCAAACAAGAAGGTTCAAGCCTTGCCGACTCTTAAAAGTTTGAGAAAATTAGAAAATCTGCATAAAGAGATGTATTATATTTTCAAATGAAAAATGACTGCTTCTAAATTTGTATTTGCCTCCAAAATGAACGATGTTGCTACTCTGAAGAATTCTGCGAAATGAGAATATAGCTGTCAAACAACAAAAATGACAGTTGCAAGCAAGCGACAAAGAGCGTAAATCTATAAGAGGAGACAACACGTTATAATTGTAGCGAGTGTGAACATCAAGAGCGTGCCTTCTCTTTTCATCCAATCACAAAACGTATTTGGGCAAAAGAGAAAGTACGCTACTGATGTTCCCACTCGTTACAATTATAACGTGTTGTCTCTTCTTATAGATTTACGTTCTTTGCAAGCGAGAGCTCGCATACCGCTCGGTATGCGAGAAAAAGCATGCTTCGTACTTTTTGCGGTCTACACGTGCGGTTTCTCGCATGCGTCGTCACGCGAGCGAGATTTTCCAGCACGTGAAGACGGCCGGTTAGAGCTGGAAACTATCGATGGCCACGACCAACGTAACGTTCCCACGACAGTCGAGTATTCGTAACCGGAGCGGCCCATATTTATATTTGGTTAAGGACTGTCACTCCAGCAACACTCCCCAAAAACTCTTTGGGGAACTTGATGCTGCTACAACAACAACCATCGATAGTATCGGTACTATCGAAAATGTCGACACTATCGATAGTAGATTAGAATTGCTAAAATATGTCGGTATTTTTGTTAACGAACAAAAGTTTATCAATGGTTTTTGGCTTCAAGAAGCATTTGTATATATGTATGAGTGTAAGCTATCCTATAAACGTTTTGGCGAACGTTCGAAAATGACCTTCAATCAAAAACTATGTTCACATTACCAACATAAAATATTTTGTTTCGTTTAAAATACCTCACTAAATTAAGTGCGTTCATACACGCGTTTCTTTATTTTTCTTGACAGCTTTGTAGCAACCCTGTGTTATTGTTTATTTAACGAAAAGAGATCGCGAATGTGAGTAATTGCGTATTTTTTTATATTCTGAGTTGTTTGTGGTAATTTTTTAGATTTTAGATGAGTGATCAAAAGAGAAAGCTTCTGGAAATATTTTACAAACTACCACGCGCGATTATTAAAAACAAAAATGTCCAAACACAATGACATATCAGTTGTGGGACAATACTTTTTTCGATTATTATCGATAAAATTAGAGCCGACACTGATTTGTTCGTGACTTGGTTCTTGGTTTAAGATAAACTACGTACTTTCATCTTAATTTACTGAGAGACTTTACAAGGCGAAATTACTTAGTTTGTACTTAATTTATGCGTAAATTAAGATTGACCTCTAAATTACGCCAATGGGAACATAGTTAAAGAACGTAGATAACAAGAAGGGACTACTCGTTATAATTGTAGCGAAAGTGCGCAACAGGGGCGTGCCTTCTCTTTTGCCCTAGTGCGTTTTTTGATTCGATGAAAAGAGAAGGCACGCCCCTGCACTTCCACCACAATTATAACGAGTTGTCCCTTTTTGTTATCTACGTTCTTTGATTCAATATCCAATATGCATATCGAACTGAGAACGAACTCAAAACCAACCTTACCGTGGAAACACAATGCCGGCCAACGGCGAACTCACTACAGCGAAATTACCGCTGTCAAAATTAGCACACCCGCCAGCATATGAAATTGAACACAGCCAAAGCGAAATGCGAAGTTCGCTCGGCGGCGTTTCGTGTCGATAGATTTATTTCTATCGCTCTGCTGGGCGATGGCCGCAGTACATGCCAAAGGTGGTCGTATGTTTTTTTTTTTACTTTCAAAAATTTAAAAGAAAACAGCATGTAACACGAATTATTTTAAATGGTTGTAAAATACAGTGATCGATTCGTTAAATCTGGCTTAAAATTAAATAGTTTATAATAATTCCCCCTTGCCTTATATTTATATTTGTTATCATTTCATCATTTCTAAATTTGGTTTCGTTTTTCAAAATATGGTCACCTAACTTATAAGTGCGACGAAATGGTATCAGCTGTTTTCGCCACCGCTCTAATTCTGTTAAAGTAGTCGGAATAGCAGGGCGAACGGGGAACGATGGCATCGCCAAACTCGGCGAACTTCGCCGTTCGCCGGGTATTGTGTTTCAAGCATTAGTTTTGCAACGTTCATAGCACATTATATACCAAGGCGTTAAATATACCTTGGTATATACAGTAATAAACCTTTTAGCAGTTTTTCACCATTTGGGCCCCGAGGAGTACTTGTGGGCTGTGTGCGGCGTTTTCGTTTTGCGCGCACGACAACACTTACTGTGGGGAATTTCGCCTTATGATTAGAAAAAGTTCTTTTCGTGGATAAAATATACATACTTATGTGTTATTTATGAACAAAATGTAGGTTATGTATATTATTCATCTTTAATGTATGCTGATATTCATGCTTAATGGGGAATAATATCGATAGTTAAGTACATAATTAACGCTTGTGTTTTATAAACTGGAAAACTCACATCGGAATTATAGTACTGAATGGAGTTTTCTTAAATGTACTGTGGTTCATTGTGTATTGGAAATACATTCGATACGGGTTCTCTTACCTTAACAAGAGAGGAAGTGCAATCCAACTCATTTTCCAATCACTCCCTCTCATTAAAATTTCAATTCGATAATGGGTTGGACTTTGAATTCATAACGAAGGAAAAATAAAATGGATAAGGAAAGTTCCGTTTTGCTTTAAAATGGCCTAGTTCTCGAATCGAATACTAATCTATCCCACATTAGTTATCGAAGGTAAGACTCGAAACGGTTTGATTGTCCAATCATTTTCGAATTATTAACCAAACCAAATGTTGATTGGGCATTCAAAGTTACAAAACCTTCGATGTTTTCGATAGTCAAAAACCATCGATAGTTTTCCAGCTCTACTCCATGGTGTATTTCACAAGGGGTGTTAGCCGTATATAAGTAAAAAATTACACTAATAAATTATACGCAGATATCCATACTGTCATTGGTATAAGTTACAACAAACACATCATTTTGACGTAATGCTCTCCACGCCGAAAAACTCAGCTGTCGCAACAACGCCACCTTGTTAAATGCACCTTGCTCTACTCCATGTGCTCGATTTAATAAAATTGCCGAAAAGAAATCATCTAGAAGATCAAATTTTTAGTTCTGAAAATGCGCTTGGTTATATTGTACGGAAGTCAAACAGGTACTGCTCAAAATGTGGCTGAACAGATTTGGCGGGAAGCAAAAACGTGGGGCTTTAATGGACCAGTTCTACCGATGGATGAGTATCCAGTGCAGCACTTAATCGAGGAACAATTGGCTATTTTTGTCGTAGCCACCACAGGTAATGGGGATGAACCAGATAATATGCAGAAAACGTGGAAATTTTTATTGCGTCGTAGCTTACCATCAGACTCGTTGCAACGGTTGCGGTTTGCCTGTTTGGGATTAGGGGATTCTAGCTATGCTAAGTTTAATTTTGCTGCTAAAAAGCTGAACAAACGTCTACTACAATTGGGTGCAAGTCCCGTACTGCCTTTAGGATTGTGTGATGACCAGCATGACCATGGACCTAGTGCGACGGCTTTGCCGTGGATAGCAGAATTATGGAATGAATTGAGGAAGTCTATACCTTTCCAACGACAAAAAAATGGAGAAGCAAAGGCAATTTTTAAATGGAATGTAACATACTCCCATCCGACAACGCCTTTAGCAGAAATTTCTCATCTGCAATGGCCACTAAAGAATGAGGCTGTATGTTTTACTTTGGGGGAAAATCGACGAACTACTGCCGCAGATCACTTTCAAGATGTACGATTTTTGAGATTTGTCTTTCCATCTATTATTAGTTGGAATGCCGGTGATATCTTAGATTTACGTCCCAGCAATGCAGACGAGCAAGTTCTGCAGTTTTTCGAACTAGTTAAAGAACATAATTTAGGTTTTAATGAAAGTACCGTAGTAAAACTTGACACGGTATATGATGATATGCCTGTGCCATTGGCTTACGCAAAACCAGTGACTGTTGGCATGCTAGCAAAGTATATATGGGATTTGAACGCCTGTCCAAGGCAACGTGCTTTTGAACTTCTATCATTAAATTGCGAAGATGAATTAGAGAAAGAGAAACTAGAAGAATTCGCCTCATTAGAGGGATTAGATGACTTAATAAACTATGTGAATCGTCCACGGCGCACCATTCTCGAGGTTTTGCAGGACTTCCGGCATAGCACCTCGAAACTTAACCTTCCCATTTTATTTGAATTATTTACCATAATACAACCGCGAAGTTTTTCCATTGCTTCAATGCCTACAACTCGTTCACTAGATCTTCTGGTGGCAGTAGTTGAGTATAAAACCAAAATGTCTAAGCCTCGTCTTGGGCTTTGTTCTAATTGGTTGAAGTCGCTGACCATTGGAAGTCAAGTATATGGGGTAATAAAACGTGGAACAATGTCTTTGCCTAGCGAGCTGGCAACGCCAATTGTGATGGTAGGGCCAGGTACCGGTATCGCACCTTTTCGGAGTGTAATACAGTACAAGAAGGAACAAGAAAAAAATGGCGGCAAAATCGGCGAATTAATTGTATTCTTTGGTTGTCGAAATAAAGCGAAGGATTATCACTTTGCTGAAGATTTTACACGTTGGCACGCGGAGAAGACTTGTAGAATATTTGTAGCATTTTCACGTGATCAGGACCATAAAATATATGTTCAACATTTAATAAAACAGCAGAAAGAGCTAATTAGTGAATTAATTTTGAAAAAATCTGCCGTTATAATGGTGGCTGGATCATCGAATAGTATGCCCAAAGCAGTGCATGAGGCTTTCATAGAGGTATTGGACGGGAATGAGGAATATCTGGATAAAATGATCAAAGGACGGAGATATCAAGAGGAGACTTGGACATAAATGCATACATACGTGCGTTGTAATAAAATGGTTAGTGAATTTTTTGTGTATTTTGTAATTTATTAAATAAATTGTTTTTGGTGCTATTGTACATAAAGTGACTAAGAAATGCATGAAAGCTTAAAAGCTAGTATATAGTTGTATAATTATTTGATATTCATAGCGGTATATGAAATTTTGAGCCTTAATTTATTTTTATAACAACACAAGGCCTAAGTGCACTTTGAGTGGCTTAAAATAATACTTACCTACATTTAAGTAATCTCGTTCAGTAATATTTATTGAAAACTGTCCTAAATCTGTTACTACAAATTTAGAAAACGAGAGAAGAAAATCAATTTTGTACTAATAGTGTTCTATTGCAAAAATGGTCCATCAAAAACTAATGATCTACATAAATGCTTCATTAGAGTTGCAAGTCTCTTGTCGGACGGAGGATACTTATTACGGAAAAATAGGGCCCCTGGCATAGACAAATAGTATATCAAATGAGAGGAAATTGAATTTTGTTTGCCCACTATTATAAGTGTCTTATAAGAAAACTCTCTTTTTGTACAAAAAATTGGATTTTTACTTCCATGTTCAGATTTCAACGGCCTGTGAGTTTTCGAGATACTTGATCTTCTCATTTGACCTTTTGATTTCACAATTGTCTCGGACTTCCGCCCAAAAAGTTAAAAACGATTATGATCAGCATAAAAACATTCTATCGAAAGACAACTATCGAGTTTTCTTATACCTAAACAGTTGGTATTCTAGACTCGCACCGATTTTTCATTTCTTTCCACTTGTTTTTGCAAGACATTGCTAATATACGGTTTGTCTATTTTTTATATTTATGGCCTTAACGAAGGAATCTTGCTAACGCGCTTGATTTATAATGTTGCTTGTATATGAATTATCTCCATTAAAAACGGAACTTTGTATCGCGTCCTATTTTACAATTACAGATATTCATCAAATAGTTTTTCCGACGATGTACGGCAAAAGGGACAATGACCTTTCTGTAGTACTTGTAGCTCAAAGTCTTCAGAATAAAATACCTAAAAAGAAATGTTCGGTAAATAATTAGGAAGCAACGCCACGAATGTCTTGAAAACTCACCAACAAACATTCCGGACAAAAAGTAACTTGTAGATCCGGTAAAATATTGCGGTAATATATATTTTTTAAATTGTTTTCACGTCGCTTGACAATTAAAATGTGTCCTGGGTCAATTGCTCGCAATGCATTCCGATCAAGGCTTAGGGGTAAGGCGCTGGCAACATCCTTTCAATGAAATAATTTAATGAGAATGTAAACTTGACATTGTACTATGTATGTACATATACATATATCGCTCGTTTTCTGAAAGATCCGCATAATCCCATTTCTTTTCCTTCACAATTTTAGCTAAACGACCACTATTGGACCAAAGTAAAGAACCAAGTAAATGTTTGCTGAGCGCTTTGTCCGCTGGTATAATTTTTACGATTGTACCTTCTATAGTATTTTGGTTTTTATTTTTGTTCAATGAAGACACTGGATTCAAAACAAACTTTTTACCCCATTTTTAATTTTTGAGCTATGGCGTTCTTCCAGCAAACTTGTAGATGTTATGTACTTAGTTACCTCATTAAAAGGATCACCCTCCTCGGCAGGTTTCGGCGGCGCGAGTAGCAATCGTTCTGCCTCTGCATCAGTAATATCTACTTCAGGGTAAAATTGTACTAAAGGCAAAATTTCTAAAGTATACAAGTATACAGTTAAACGTTATTTTAGTATAAAATTCATTATTGTCAGTTTTATATTTTTGATGTGATTACCAAAAGAGATGAATGAAAATATGTAATCTTGTTTACAGGTTGGGCAAATGTTGCCATTCAAATGTTGGCTATAATTTGAGCATTTGTAACAGAGCGGCAACAGCTCTTCGGGATCATTAAATCCACTCTTGCATGCCTTACTATTCAGGTAATTTATCTATAAAAACCACCAATGAGCTTCAATATAAACAATCGTAGAGAATTGAAACTCACATCAATTTGTTCTTGGACACCGGGGGGGCGGTTTTAGTGATTGCAAACGCTTATTCACAACCAAGCATAATTTATTAGCCTGCAGTAGTTTGGCCTGTTTAGCTAGTGTGAACAAAACCGCACTAAAAAAAAAATTACCATAGATAAAAAAAGTAATGATGATTCTCGATTTGTGATTTAAGGCAGAAATTCTTTTACTCACAATAAGCTCACCCCCTTTGGTGTTCCTTTGTACTCGACTTCGTTCAATATAAAACGGCTTACGTTAAATAGACTAACTGGTGAATATGTCGTAAATGGTTCTTTCATATAGTTAAATATTACACTGTAAGCATAATATACTTTAGCAATTCGTAAGTGGCTTTGATACTCTTTATAATGGTGGTCAACAGGATTTTGCTCACTACAAAAAGTAAAATTTTCAAATGTAAATAATAACAGGACACCAAAGTTACTCTATATTTACTCTTTCTTGTAGTAAATGTCTAAATATTGTTTTGAAAGTAGCCAATAGAAGTAACTGGCATCTAGGAAACGCTCCTCTACAATGGCCGATGTGCTGAGCTGCTTCAGCAAACGATTTGCGTCTTTCATGCGCCCCGCTTTCAAGTAAGCTACATTTAATAATAAAACAAAGTTTAAAAAATATATAACTATGTACATATCGCACACCGTCTTCAAAAGAGTCACAACTCAAAATAATACGTTTGTCAGAAAACGCGAAAAACTACCTTAGGGCGGCTTTACCTTAGGGTTTTTTAACAAATTATAACAAAAATTTGCTCCAGCTTTTTGCTGAAAGGTAAATAAAAGCTCTGCGTACATTTTTAGCCCATAATCTCAAAAATGCCAAATTTTTTGTTATGATTCTTTTGAAGACGGTGTGCGATATGTATGTATGTATAGCATAAAGGAATGCTGAAGCGAACCTTCGTGTGCCTCAATAAATTGGTCGGATTCAGCAAGCCATTGGGCATGCTGGTAATTGACAGTGGGCAACATTTCTGGCATATTTTCTGCAAGTCGGAAAGCTTCGGCCCAATCGCGTGCTTCAACATGTAATTGTATCACTTGTGCTTCATCGCCGAGCTTCTTAAAGATTTCAGCTGCTAATGGTAAAGCTTTCAACCGCTTTAAATTGAATGCAACCGATTCCAGTGAGATTTTCTCACTCAAACTTAATCGGCGGCCAATGTCATATAAACTTTAAATTAATAAAAGAAGTTGATTAATTAAATTAAATTACATTTTTAGCTGCATTGCAAAACTTACATATCTGCCCAATCCTGTTCCGCTACAATGTCTATAGCTCGTTGATGCTCCCCAGCTGATAATAATAATTCTGCGGCTGCTCGTGGCTCCTTGACGGAGTATGCCCATTCTGCCCTTTTTTTCACTAAATCACGTTTCGCTTCATCCGAGCCATCTTTGATGAATTCTTGTGCGAGATCGAACATGCGCAAATCAGTATACATTTCCAATGCACGCATGGGCTGATTGCACTTTTGATAAAGACGTGCAGCCTCCTTGTATTTTCCAGCATATGCACAGCTCTCCCCTTGTAGCACCTCTTTTGACACTTCTCCACGTTTCTGTTTATCAGTTAATTCATCGATTAACTGCAGCCAAGAGAGATTGCGCACCTTTACGTATGCATCACGCGCTATATGTAGATGCAAAGCTTCCAGAGCAGATTGTGCAAGGCCTTCCCAATCGGTTGTGGTCACACCTAAGCAGGCAACTTGGTAGGCCTCTCTGTAAGTAGTTTTAAAGAGGTAAAAAAGCGGAATAAAGAAAACGTTGCATAATTAATTTTACTCGAAGAGTCCCGCTTCAACGAATTGCCACATGGTTGCGCCAAGTGCTAGTGGTATATTATGCATAACGTTGCCACGCAGACAAAAAGCCGTGGCCCCACATAGACCCACTACTACGCCTAACATATTCTGGGGGCCGCGTGGGGGCAGACTGCCAACGCGAATGCTGAGTCCACCTACAGTGTGCGTGTAGCAAAGCATTGAGTCCAGGTGTGTATCCCAGGTTACAGAGTTCACGCCAGTGTCCTTTAAATTCGTTTTAAATATTTCAAAGTGATTTGATGTGCATCATTTGTACAAACCTGATAAAGTAGAGTGTCACTAACAATATCTCGAACAACTAGGCGTCCAGTATCATCCACTACAGCAATCTTAGTGCGGTTCGCATTGATATCTAGACAGCGTACTGCTGATACGACACTGGTAATTAAAAGTGGAAGTGAGTTGTCCAAAAATATACGAAAAACCTGAGAATTTTCGATTCAGTTAACTAATATTGATTAGCTATCAAGACATAAATACCTGCCCGCTCTTTAGGCCAACAAGAAGACCTTCTCGGCCTGATGGGCCACCCGTCACCTAAAATAATAAATTTATCAATATGTTATACGAGTTTTTGCTTTTCAAATTGCGTTAAATTTTTGTTTGTTTCCTTTTTCTTGCAGTTCATTCACCTTAATATAGCGTATGAAAGAGTCCATTATCCAGTCTCGTTGTAATATGCCGTTAAAGTCCAAGCTCTGCAGACGTTTCTCCTGGCATAGGACTATGTGACGTGCACATACTACCAATAGACTGCAATCGAATTTCTTCTGAATCTTTTCTTTTACTTTGTAATGCATCGGCTGTTCTTCACCAGAACTTAATTCGTACAGAACCACACGCTCAGGTAGTTGCACTGCTAATCGATTTCTATAGATAGCAATTTTTTGCACTAAATCGCGGCATTTTATGCGCACTTTCTGGCCAGAAATTAAATGTTGTATTATGACATCGCACATATTTTCACGAAATGCATAGCGTTCACGATACAGCGCATGAACCGTACTTGAAACGATGTTAAAGCAAGCGAGTGTGCCATTCTGACAGCCAATCGTATAAGATTGACTGTTGGGATGAATAGCAACCGACCAAATCCAGGATTTAAAACCTTCGCCAAGTGTGCCCAAACGTACGCCTTCCTTTGTAAAAAAGTGTAATGAGTCCGAACATCCACTCACTACGCAATATTCTCCATTGGGGAAAAAGGTTAAGCATAGCGGATCAAAACCCAGCGCTCGCTCTTTGCCAATCATCTGACCGCTTAATGTATGAAATGAAAGTGTTTGGCCCCAATCAGCTACTCCAATTACATCAGTACTAGTCATTGGACAGCACTGTAGGCTAAAGACGTTGCTGCTTGAACCACCTGGACGATCGAAACGGCCTTTTTCCTCACCAAGCTAAGCAATTGGTAAGTAGGTATGTATATACATACAAACGTACATAATATGTACATATGTATGTAGTATATAGATTATGTACCATAACATGTATATCTGCATATGTTTATTTTTATGAATCTAAACTTACTTTGCTTCTAATGGAAATACTGCCATTGGCTAATCCAAGTATCAAGTACTGGCCATCATTGGTCCAGGTACATGAATTGACTCGTGTGGAAATTTTGTACTTTTGCACGGCTTTCTGGTCAGCAGACCAGAAAGCAAAGTCACTGTGTGAACAAGAAGCCAATTGATGTGAAACCGGATTGAAGGACATACATTGCACTGAGTCGTTATGTCTGAAATTATAGGCAGCTTTATATGTACATACATGCTGGGTTGTGAAGATTGCAGAAAAGAATTACGAATATTTTAGCAATCCCTCCAACTGAGGTGTCCACACGATAACTGTTTTGTCTACAGCACCACTTGCAAACTTTTTGCCATCGCGAGCATAGGCCACACAATTAACTACATCTTTGTGAGCCTTAAGAGTATTTAGTAAAGTTCCATCTGGGTCATATATAAGCACCCGATCACCGGCCGCCACCACTAGTTGCTTTCCCTCAGGGTGATAGCATAAGGAATGCACACTAAAAAAGGTGTAAAACATAAACGCCGAAGAGGATATTTTCATTGTAAGGATCGTTAAGTCGGTTGGTACTTTACTGATTTTTACGCACCTGACTTGGTCTTCTTTGGTGTTTGGAAATTCAATTTTCTGAACCCATTTAAGTACTCCACGCATTGCTACTAGACTTATGGAATACTTTAGAAAATTGTTGGGCTCTTTTAAAAGATCTGAAAGTGGTTCTGATGATTTTTTAACTTTGGTATTGCATTTAATTATTGTTTACTTTCTTTTGTTGCATAGTAGCTTGGCAACGACGTTGGAAACGACACATATGTGCTTCGCCGTACTACTAGAGATCGTAAATAGTGGTTAATCGTTACTGAATGAACGAATAATATAGTAAAATTGAGTACATTTAATCCCATAAAATTTATGGTATGATGTCTGATGTGTGATCCGGCCTATGTCGGTCTAAGGGATCTGGGCCACTACACAAATATTAGCTTAACGTTGACAAAAATGCATACATACGAGTATAAGGTATAAAAATAATGAAAACACTAGTGATTGGCTTTAATTACAAATATGTTTGTGTAGAAATACAGCGGGGAATTCGTATGTTTTCTCTTACTCTCATAACATTAACTTCATTAACGTGCCTTCAGTCCTTATTTCATTGGTGCACCTTAAGTATTCGAGTAAAAGATCGAATTTAACACCACTAGCATGTGTGTTTATACCCAATTTGCGACAGAGGGAGAACGAGTTCGATTCGACGTCGTTACGCCGTTTGTGTGAACTCGAAACGACGTCGAAACGAAGTCGTTTTTTTTTTCAATATAAACAGCAACGTCCTTCCGACGTCGTTTTCCCTCATCGAATCGAAGTCGTTACGACGTCGGTTTGGTGAAGTGTGTGTGGTTGTACTCGAAACGGAAGTCGTTTTTCCATACAAAACGCAACGTCGTTCCGACTTCGTTTCCCTCATCGAATCGAAGTCGTTACGACATCGGTAAGGTAAAGTCGTTTGGGTGAACTCGAAACTACGTCAAATCTTTCCATACAAAATTTTTACTCTATTACACTAAAATTTAATCAGTTATAAAACTGCTTTATATTTTTATTTTAATTCAGATTGGAAAGTTTGAAATTTTTAGGAGCGCTTGACGATTTTTTTTTTTTTTTTTTTTTTAATATTGCACACAATTGAAATTGCATTTGTATGGATTTTGTTAAAGATTTTGAGCATCGTTTTGCAGTTCGCTAGTATATCGTTTTTGCGCCTCGCCGGCGAAGTGTGCTTTTCATCCGACGGCGAGTTCGTTGATGAGTCGTTGGCGAACGCCGCGGGCGAAGAAATATTTCACCAGACCGAGTCGGAAACGTCGTTACGAAGTCGTTTGGCAAATTGGGTTGGTAAACATAATGTAAAATATACATACATACATTCATACATACATATATGCGTAAGTGGACATATATAAATTTGGGCATATGTACACCTATGGCCAAAATAATAGAAACAGGTCATTTTGATAAATTTTGGCTATTTTTCTCTTCTTTGTTTAATGTTCATTAAATTTTATTATAAAAGTATAGCACCTTATATAACAAGGGCCGTATATACAAATCAAAATTGTAAACTTTGTTCGGAAATTTGAAAAATTGGCCGAAGTTTCATCAAATCGGAATTTTTAAAATTAATTAATGAATCCAGTTTTATAGCCCATTAAATTTTAGTGTATAAAGTGCAAGTTTGAAATTGATTTTTGATATTTATTTTGTAGAGGCTGTCACGCATTTTTAGCAACTACTAAAATTTAATGGACTCCAAAACTGTATACCAAAAATTATTTATAAAAATTCGGATTAAAGAGTTTGACAAAGTTTGAACTTCTGTGAACTTTTCTAATTTCCTTACAAAGTCCACAATTAGGATTTATGTAAATTTTTTATTGTAATGAGATTTACTCTTATAAAAAATAATGAACATTAAGCAAAAAAAAAATAGTGAAAATGTCATGTTTCTATTATTTTGGCCATAGGTGTACATACATACATATCTATGTACATTAAAACAAGCCGGCAATTTTTGTGAAATAAAAAGCCGGTATAAAAATTCAGTTTATTACATAAAAACTTTGTAATGAGTGATTACATTTTCTTGAAGCTTAACACTTTTATTTTAAGGCCCTCTATGTGAATCTATTGTATGTACACACATAGCTATTTGGTCAAATGAAGAATTTTAGCCGTTAATGGTGAAATGAACGTGCAGATATAGGGTGCTTTTACTAAATGCTCCCCTAGCTGCTTGTTCTACAAAAAGTACAGCTAGCGTATACGAATACATAGTACATTCATGCATCCATACATATCTATGTATATGTATATGTATATATAAAGATGTTTGTGTGTATATACATACATATGTATATAAACGTGTAGCAGAAGTTTTGAGTTGAGTCTTGGCATCCCTCAGCGTTCGTCAACGTCAATGCTAGAACTCTGCTACTTCGCTTGTGCGGCTCTGCCGTTCAGTATTCAGAAAGCAGCGATTGAGCGAAGAACGTGTTCTGTGCGTGGGAAAAGCAGTATATTTAATTTGGCGTCGGTTTTATTCTGTTGCAGCGCAACGCCGCGTTGCTCCCGCTTCGCTTTTTGATGGTGAGGTGACTATACTAGTTTTAATTTATTCGGTGAAAAGAGCGAATAATCGATAGAAATTAAGGTAGAGAAATATTGAGTTATATTCAGAAAAAAAATTACAAAATTATCTGTATAGTTTGGAAAATGGGATTGGTGCATAGAAATAATTGAAATCACGCCTGGCGTTTTTCTTCCGAGTCTAGAAATTCAGCGGGTCGGCCATTTTGGATTTGTACTTGACGAAACATTGAATTTCGATCAGTTGTATTTTCGGCTTTATGTTTGTCTCTTTCGCGCATATAGCGTTTGCGAGCAGATTTGGATTTGATGGCGCAGAAAAATCGAACGAACGCGAAGGTTGTTCGTTAAATTCGACATTTTCGTGCGGAACTTCAAGGCGTTTGGAATATTTTCTGGTCCGCTACGGCAATTTTTGTACAGTGTTGCTTTTTTGGTCGATGTGGTGTGTTCAGGGAGTTGCAGCGTTTATTATTGAAGTTGCAAAGTTTTAGGGATAGCTAAAGTGGATTAAAAAGTAAATTTGGTGAAATTTGTGATAAAAATATTTGTAACCAACGTGCCATTTTGTAACTCGTCAAAGATGGCAAAATTAAGGCACACAGGTAGGCAGACGAGAGTCATGGCAGCAAATTTAACTGCATCTGCTCGTGCTTCGATTTCTCGTTCGTTAAGTTGCTTTTCATTTTGTGGCTTGCTAGCTAGCTAGATGTCGTACAGTAGTGAACGGTGTGAATTTGGTTGCGTTTGCGGTATAGAGCTATTTTAGCGAAAATTGGTGTAAGAATTTTATAAAGTGGTTCGCTTGTGATTAAATATGTAAGAACTGAGCGTGTTACATATATAACTTGAAAATTATGCGGGTCATGGTGAAACTCACCCGCCGTGCTTAATGGGGTGTATTGCATAGTTAGAAGCTGTGAGAAGTCTCAAATATTTTTCGAAGTTGTAATTTGTCCAGTAGTGAATAAATCTGTCTTGTGATCCGAACGCGCGGTGGGGTTTACCAATGGCGCTTAGGTGTACAAGAACAAGATTTGTCCGGGCACTGAAACTGCCTTCAGAGAATGGCATAACATGGTGTGAGATGGATGCAGACATTCGAATTTATATGTACATATCTATCGAATGTTAAAAAGTTAAAATTTTCAAATAAAAATCTATTTTTGATGTTGGGTTGCATAAATAATCGATAAATGGATAGGTTTACTGTTAAATTAAATTGACTTGAAGTTTTTTTTTCACATTATAAGTACATATGTATGTATGTATGTAATTGATAAAATAAATGATAAAAAAAAGTGCCGCCGCCGGATGCCAAGCTTTGTGATACTTTTCTATCCTTCATGGTATCATATATTTGTCCCTTTTACTAATCGGCATGCTGACCTGAGGCAAAATTCGGGTTTTGGAGCATGTGTCATTTCGTCGTTAAAAACTTAACGAAGCATATACTAGGGTTAAATCGAACGAAAACCGTCTGGTGAATGGGTAACCAAAGTATAGACTTTTGGGTCTTGTTAAAGGATTTTTGCGGAACGGCCACATTAATATATACATTTTATTTTATATAGTTTTTGCTATTTTACTCATTTATGTGTGTACATAATTTTTTCCAGATTAGCCGGTGGCAGTAAAGCAAATAATTTATTACGATTGTGGATTTGGTGACTTAGAACATACCTGCATTGCTGTGTTCTAAGCAGTGCGTAGTGGCTGATCTTCACTGCTAAAATTAAGCGAGCCATGAATAATCAGATGAATAACGCGGTGCGCAAAATTCATAACTTGCATACGAGCGGTGCTGTGACCGTTACCGGTCTCAGCCAGCCCCGCATATTAAAACAGAAAGTTGGTTCCGGTATTGTGACGTCCAGTAACACACATAATCTGCAACAGACACATGTTAATAGCTCAAATCGATGCTATGTATGCGACGATGCACTGGGTGCAAGTCAACAGCAAAATTTGCTCACCGAAACACAGACTTCGCATACTGCCACCAAGTTTCCGAACAAAATTGGCCAGCTTGTGGGTGATGCTTTTATGGTCATTGTAAGCGTAGACGATGTTGTGTGCGCACGTTGTACAAACCTGCTTAATTATTTGGATCGACTGGAGAATGATGTTGAGCGCGTTAGAACCAACTTAATGAATCTGCTGCATAAGAAATATGGCCTGAATGATGACAGTGGCGGAGGTAGTGCGCCATCGCCTCCTATAAAAATGCAGAAACTGAATAGCGGTACCGTCACACGCACTGCCGAAGATACAACTAGTGATTTGGGTCGAGTGCGCAAAGTTCTACAGACTGTGTCTAGTGATTCAAGTGTGGGAAAGCAGTCACCTCCAGGTATGTATCACAATGCAACATATTTGCCTCGGTATGTAAGTAATGCTTTGACGAAGTACCAATTTTAAATCGATGATTGCTCGTTTTGATATATCACACACCATCTTCCAAATAGGCACAACTCGAAAAAAATTTAACTGGATATCTATTTCCACAATTTATCTCCAATTAATGTGAATATGTTTTTTTTTTCCTGATTATATTCTCTTACCAGAAAGCTACTGTTATACCTATTTTTGTATTAATTGCGTTGAATCTGTGCGATCCACAGGCAATTATATTTTTGAAAATGGTTTTTGAGTTGTGCCTCTTTTGAAGATGGTGGCGTGTGCCTATATGTATGTTAATCAGGCAGGTTCTACAAATCAAGTTCAAAGGGGTTTGAAATTCAGTCGAAAGTAAATCACTACCTGCCTGAACGAACTGTTACAATCAATTAAATATATTACAAGTTGAGTAATTCAAAATTTCATCGCAAAATATAGAAAAAGGTTATTTTTTAACAGCGGTCATCCCTTGGCAGGCAATGACAAGCCTCCGGGTGTATTTCTGCCAAGAAAAACAGCTTCTCATAAAAATACATTCGCCGTTCGGAGTCGGCGTAAAACTGTAGGTCCCTCCGCCTTGTGTGACAACATCAAGGCGCACGCCACAAGTGGGAGGAGAAGCTCGGCCAAACACTTACTATGTGTAAGCGCCAATCTATTATTAGCAGCGTTTTTTTGGAAGCGAACGACAAAAGAACGCTCAGCTCGGGTAAAATTCCCTTTTAGCTACTTAGCATGTGATTGGTTCAACGGGATTTAGACACAAAAAACAATAGAAATTAGTAATTATGCGAGGTATTTGCGTAATATATATACCAACAACTAGACACCAGTCGCCATACGTAAGACGGCAATTAAATAAGGTGATCATAGGTGGAAGCAAATTAAAATTGAGTAGAGATGTGCGATAAATCAATTAATTGAACTAGCTATTTAGTCGAAACCTGATTAATTACTTAATAAAAAATAATAATAATAAAAAATTTTACATAATACATATCGTTACCTTAAGCCCCAACCAACACTTTTTTAGAATAGCGTTTTTCGCCGATTTTAGGATGCATTAAAATATACAAAAACAAAGAAGATACATGCCACTTTTTAAAAAGCTCTACCTGTGTTTGATACTCTTTTTAACCGACTTCTAAAAAAGGAGGAGGTTATCAGTTCGTCGGAATATTTTTTTATTTTTATTTTTTTTATGTATGTTACCGCATAACTTTGGACCACGTCAACCGATTTCGATAATTCTTTTTGCATCGGAAAGGTAGTGTCTCAGAGGTGGTCCCATACTAATCTGGTTAAGATTCGATCAGCGGATCATGAGATATATATATATATATTTATTTTTTTTATATGGGAGTTGAAGTCGGTTTTTTTTTTTGCTAAAAATTACTAGTTTTATAATATTTTTTGATTCTGTACTTAAAATAAAAAAATTGTTGGGTGGGGCCTTTGTGATTAAAGTAAGTAAGGCTGACTTCCAAAACGTCAATTGCTGCGTATAAAGTATAATGTTCCATAACGCCGAACTACAAAATATTGTTAATGTATACTTTTCCAAAACGCATCTGAAAAGTTATCGAAACGCATCGTTAGAGCAATCAGCGCATCAGAAACAAAGTTAATGCTTCGTTTGTTATTGCTTACCATTGGTGTTTTAAAAATGGAAAACCCAGGAAAATTGTTCACTGCTATATTGAATATTTAAAATATGCAATGTATATGGTTGCAATGTGTCGCAACTCTGCATTTACAAACACTTTGAATACCGCAGTATAACAGTATCCAAACATTGATACGTTTTGGAAGTCGGCTTATTTTTTCATTTCAGTGAGCAACATGGTAAGGTACTCGTTTAGCATTATATTTTAATTACATACATTTGAGGGATTCACAACGGCGTCGTAATTGTCGTATTGTTGTATGTAAAAGCTTAAATAAATGTTTAGAGAACTTTAAACGACAATCACCATTTTTTAACACTTGATGGTACTTTGCTAACCCCCTTAATATATATTTTAGGCGTTTAAAGCTTACGACATGCAACAATACGACACTACGACACCGTTCTGAATACCTCAATTGTATTACAAAAATTGGAACAAAAACACAACTTAATAAACCTAGTGTATGCATATATCACGTTTGATAGCTGTTGGCCACACGAACAATGACTCATACTCAGTTTTACTGGATCCATTCGTATTCTCGAGAAATATAATTTCATGATCCAAAAAGTTGAGTACCCGGCCAATTTTTTTTCTCCAAATTTCGAAAAATCATCGTTTTTTGGCCAATATTAGCTTTGTATGATATTTTTAACAAAAACAGGCAAAAAAACGTTAGATTTTCAAAATTTGGAGAAAAAAATTTTGCTGGCCACTGTACTCAGATTTTTGTATCATGAAATCTTTTTTTCTCAAGAACACGAATTGATCTAGTAAATCTGAGTATGAGGCGTTGTTCGTGTGGCCAACAGCTACCTAATCGGGATTATGATTAACTAAAAGTGTATTTAATCGATAATTCGCTCCCTAAAAAAGGGTATGCATACATCTATGGCCAAAATAATAGAAACGCATTATTTTGACTAGTTTTGACTTTTTTATTTAAAATCAATTAATTTTTTATGAATGTTTATATACAGTGGTGGAAAAATAAATAGGGACACGACATTTCAACAAATTTTGCCTATTTTTCTTTTGTTTATTTATTATTTATTATTTTTTTATAAAAGTATAGCTCATTATCGTAACAAAAACCATATAAATTAATATTTACAATTTTGTGCAAAAATTACGAAAATTCTGCACACTTGCATCTAAATTTTCAACTTTTCAAACAGATTTTTCAGAATTTTTTTTTGAGTATGCAGTTTTATAGCCCATTAAATTTAAGTAGAATAAAATACAAGTTTGAATTTCCTAAGAAATCGCGTCGATTTTTGATAATTTTTATTCTGAATGTATTACCCACTTTAGTCCGTACAAAAAAAGAAAAAAAATGGTGGTCGAACATACTTTGTATGGAAGAAAATGCGCTAAAAAAAAAATTGCAAAAATCAACGCGATTTTTTAGCTCCTTAAAATTTACACTTCATTCTATTCAAATTTAATGGGGTAGAAAACTGCGTACTCAAAAACTTAAAAAAAAAATCTGGTAAAAAGGTGAAAATTTAGATGCAAGTTGGCAGAATTTTTATAATTTGTGCACAAAGTTTGAAATATGAATATATATGGATTTTGTTAGATAATGAGCTATAATTTTATAAAAAATAATAAATATTGAATAAACCAAAGAAAAATAGGCAAAATTTGTAGAAATGTCGTGTCCTCATTTTTTTCCACAACTGTACCTAACCGCAATCATGGAAGTCTAAATTTAAAATTTTTTGCAAAAATTAGGATAACTCAAGAAAGTTTCATCAAAATTGTAAAGTTTTTAACACAGATATAGGTTAGAAAATTTTTTGATGCGCAGTTTTATATGCCATTAAATCTAGGTATAATAAGGTGTAAGTTTGAATTTGCTAAACAATTACGTTGATTTTTGATATTTTTTTGCTGACGGTGTTATACGATGTTTCCACGCTTCGTAATTCCCTCTCTAAGTAATTCGTGAATTACCCTGTTTCCACAACACATATTAGGAACTCGTTGGGCAGCTCTACTTCATGTTCTTGTTCTTTGCTATTTATTATTATCTTTGTGTACTGAAAATATCGAAGAGGCAGCAAAAATTTTATTCATCAAAGATTTTAATATTAATATATATGTATATATGTATTATAATACTAATATATTCCGATAAATATTAAAGAAGGCACCGATTCGTTCGTCATTCGCATGGCAATTCGATCTGAATTACCTACAAATGAGGTAATTCCCTCTCAAAATTTTGTATAGCGAATTACGTAATTCGAAGTGTATTTGGATGGCGAATGACGAATGGGAGAGCGAATTACGAATGAGAGTGCGAATTACGATGCGTGGAAACGTGGTATTACGCATTCCTGGCGGCGATGACATTGCTGTAAATTTTCTTAAGGAAATAAAAGATAACTGTAAAATGCAAAACTGAGAGTCAGTACAAAACTGTAACATTTGCCCTAATTTACATTTTTGTATGCTGGTTTTTTTATTGTTGTATTGAATTCAAATCGTTATGAGAAAGGAAGTGGGGTGCACCAACAAGAATATACAACAGAAGGATGAAAGTCGTTACAACTTGAAAATATAGCGGTGGCTGAAATAAAAAGTGTTACACCATGTTACAGTTTTGCTCGTCACTGTATGTACTTATTTAAAAATTAAATGGTTTCACTTATAAACGTACAGTGGTGGAAAAATAAATAGGCACACAACATTTTTTTCAAATTATGCCTTTTCTTTTTTTTTATTTAATATCTATTTTTTTATTAAATTATAGCTCATTATCCAACAAAAACCATATAAATTCATATTTCAAACTTTTCGCAAAAATTATAAAAATTCTGCAAAATTGCATTTAAATTTTCAACTTGTTAATACTTGTTAATCAGATTAAAAAAAAAATGTTTGAGTATGCAGTTAAATTTTAGTCGAATAAAGTGCAAGTTTCAAGTTCCTAAAAAATCGCGTTGATTTTTAATAATTTGTATTCTGAATGTGCATTAGTCGAAGCAAAAAAATTGTCGAACATACTTTGCATGAAAGAGAATGCGTAAAAAAATTAACAAAACACAACGCGATTTTTTAACAACTTAAAACTTTTGCACTTCATTCTACTACAATTTAAAACAATAAAATAATAATAGATTGGCACTTACAAATATGTTAGTATTTGGCCGAGCTTCTCCTCCGAATTGTGGCGTGCGCCTTGATATTGTCACACAAAGGGGAGGAAAATAATGATAAGTATCTGTAACTTATAATTAAAATTAAAATTTTATGTTACAAGAGCAATGGCTGCAAAGGCCTTAAGTTAACTTCTGTGTTGAATTTTTTATTTTATTTTATTTTTTTTTTAATTACACCGGCACATGAAAAAAGTGATCCGTACATTTAACCAGACCGCCTACCGACATGTACATCGAACCGCTAAATCCGAGTGTGAAGTCCGTTTGACTCGTACACTCTCAAAATTTCGAGTAAATTGCGAAAAACCAATGCAATTTTCCAGTAATCTGTCAGCACCCCATTTTTTTATATATTGCTGAGTTTCCACTAGGCATTACATGACAATGTTGACCATTAAAAAATACCTTCACGTTCATTGAAATAGTCGTCTTTGTCTCTTTCCACACGTCATTTTTTTAGTTGCATACAATTGAAAATAACAATTTTCATAAGATTTCTTTAAAACTTTTGTTCCCTTACACACTGTTATATTTATTTTTTTCTTTTTGCACATAAAGTTGTTAGCGCTGTGCAGCAAATGAAAATATCTACACAAAATGTAAGTCCGAATGCATCAGTGGGTGGCACCCAAACGTTTCAACGCAAGACAACCAGAATATACAAGTGTATTTCATGCGATTATAAGACATCTGATATGCGATTATTTAATACACATTATGAAACATGCAAATCACAAAATTTCCAGTGCAAGAATTGTAAGAAAATCTTCCCGAACTTTGGTAGCATGAAACAGCATATGGTGCGGGAACACAATACCACTATGGATAATACCTGTGCAGTTTGTCATATAAATTTTGTAAATGAGCCAGCTTTGCGAAAGCATATGGAAGCGAATCACAGCACAAATGTTGTAGTAACAAGTACGACGACACTTCCATTAACACAGCAGTCGGCAGCAGAGGCGGCGAGTACAACAGGCGCCACCACACCACTTTATACATGTAACCATTGTCAATTCAAATCCACAGACAAAGCGCTCTTTGATGAGCACTTCAGAAAGCATTTGTCTGGTGTAAAGCCCAAACCATTTAAATGTCGGCTATGCGCTCAACGCTTTGAGACGCGTGAAGCTGCTACTGTCCATGCCAAACAGCATCAGCCCAACTACTTCAAATGCGGCACCTGCTCCATGTCCTTCCCAAAACGCGAATTGCTAGTTAAGCATTTCGAAGTGCATCAGCAGTCCCAGCAACAGCAGCAGCAGCAGCAGCCGACCACAACCGCTACAGTTGTACAACATCAACAAATCGTTACACAATCTGCGCCAATAGTCAAACAGATAACAACAAAACAACAGCAAGCGACGTCGCAAAATATTTTGACTACACAGAAGTTATTGCAAGAAACCATCGACGAGGCATTAAGTGACAATACAGTAAATACCGTTGTAAGCAGTGCTGCTAACACAGATGTGTTGCCTACCGCAGCCAACAACATACGTTTCTTTTCATGCCACATCTGTTCTCTTACATTCATACAAGAAAATTATTATAATCAACATATGGAAGCGCATCGTCAGGACAAGGAAGGCGTTGGTAGTGGTGGAAGCAGTGGTACTACAATTACCACTTCATCGTCATCGGGTTCGGGTGGTAGTATGCTACATCCAAGTGCTGCTGCATTACTTAGTGACGACAACAAAGCTGATGGCGGCGACAGTGGTGATCTGTCATCGCACCAAGGTGGCGGTAGCGGCGTGGAAGCTGACATTGAAAGCATTTTTGAGAAAATGCATTCCGATAAAAATGATAGCGCTGGCGATACGTTAACAACATCAGCTGCCAATACCGCAACAACTACAAATACCACATCTGCGACTGGACAAAGCAGTAGAGACAGTTTGGTTATCACATCACAACAAGGCACGGGTGGTATTACATTTAATATTACTATTCCACAGCCAGAAACTGGAACTACACAAGAGGCAAGAGATGTGAGTATTTTGTAAAATAGTTTATTAGGTTATCTTACATTTTGAAGTGAAACTTCGATAGCAGCGGCAGTGCAGAATTCATAAATCTTTACGAAAATTGTGGCACATGTGATGCAAGGAAAGGGCATCATCTCTCTTTATTATTCCTCCGCTATATTAATATAGTAGGTACATATGTCTAAATTTTTATATTTCCTATTTCACCTACTATAAATTTATAATCATTTATGGAATATGCAATGAGTTTAATAATTTGTTTTGTATCAAATAAAATGCGCTAAATTTTGTAAGTATATATGTATATATATTTCAAGCCAATAAGATATTCTCAGCTCCCATTGTCTTCATATCAGAAAATTAATTCCGTGCGTACACCAAATCAAGAGAAGTTTCACTTACGTAGTGTGGCCCTGACGCACTGTATTTTTCTCCATTTAAAGTCGTATATCGTCATCATCAATGCAAAATGCTCTACTTATTTGATATTTTTTCAAATATCGTCTTTTGTATTTATGGTGACGATATCGTAATATAAGTATTGCATCCTCGGATTTACTCATAAACTCTTGGTTACTCCGTTGCAGAGCTCCAAATCTATACCGACAAGCACTGCGCCCGTATCCGTGAGCATAGATATGCCAGTATTGGACCAACCTGACGAAGGCTTAACCCCAACGGCAGTTGGCAAATCTGAAGGAAACAGTGGAAAAGAAAAGCAAGTCAGTGGTGGTAGTATAGGTGCTGATAGGAAAGTGTCTGCCCCTGTTAGCATGCCAAGTTTAGATGATGATAACGATACGCAGGAGCATATGCAATCACAATCAGCGCAGGAAGATAAATCCCCCTCGTCGGAAGCAAAAAAAGGCAGTGACTCAAACGACGAAAATGCGAGAACTGCTGGAGCAAAACAGGAAAAGGCTGAACAATCTTCTAAAGCGGAGGGAGCTGAATCAGCCTCAGGAAAGGGGGCAAATGCTGCTGCCGCGAGCGCTTCAGATGCTAATGGCGATGCCCAATCGGACAATACCGCTGCTGGCGGTGAAGGAGAAGGCGACCATCATCAACAAGTTTCAATGGAATTAGACGAGGCCATGCAAGCGCAAGTGGAGGGCGGTCAAATAAAGTTCATACTTAATGAAAATGGTCAGCTATTGCAACTGGATAATCACATTATTACCGATGCTGATGGCAACCAAATACTGGTACAAGATCCCGAGCAAATCCAGCAGCTTCTACAAAGCGCCGGCCTATTGCAATCTGGCGACGGGCTTGATGGTGAAACCTTACAAATGATGACGGATGCTAATGGTCAGATGGTTTTGGTGCAGGGTGAGAACAATGAGACGCAACTGATCGATGCTTCACTTCTGAACGCCGACGGACAATTGGTAATACAACAAGGACACGATGGTGAACTAGGCGAAGGTGCACATGTTATTGGTGAAGACGGCACGCGGATACCTGTTTCGGTATCGTACACTGCCGATGGGCAACCGATCGTTAGAGTACAACAACAAATGTTGGAAGCATCTGGCGGAGAAGAAGATCAAGCTGTGCTCGAAAAAGATGCGGCTGCAGCAGCGACTACCACCGAGGAGGAGGGAACGTCAGAGGTAGCGGCAGATGGTGCAGCCGCTGCAACAACCAGCGCATCTTCAGCGGCAAGCGGTGACGCGGCGACTGGTGGCAATGGTGAAGGCAATGTAGCTGCGGCCAGAGGCGGTGATGCCGGCAGCAGTAGTGGTGGAGATTTCTTTCCTCTAGAAGATCTTATGCAACAATCGGCGGAGGGTAAACCCGCGGAATAGGAGTGGCTTTAGGAGAGCATTAATTGTACAATTATTGCAGACGATTGGAATTTCTAGAGTGAGTAAAATCTTATACACATCGTCGTTTGGAAGTGCAAAAGCGTGTATCGTGGTTCTGCGAAACCTCGTAAATGCCAAATTTTAGATTTGCTTATCGCAAACTCCTGGCGTCAATCGTTATATCTATTCACACCAAAATATCGATTTTGATATAAAAGGAAAGATAATTAGATATCAAAGAGAGAACCCTGTTGAAATTAGGGCAACCTCAAATACGAGATTTGGCATTATCTTAAAACGCGGTTTTGCACTTTCAACGGCGATATACGTACACACATATAATATAGATTAATGATATATGTAGGTGGTAGGTAGGTAAGTGCGATTAAACCTAATTCCAAAAACAGCACTTTGGAATAAAAGTACAGAGCACAAATTAAATAATCGCGCAGCCAACGGTATACCAGTGATTTTTTAAGATCTGATAAATATGTAGATTAGTTTTAAATAAAATAAATATATTTCAGTAATTGACCGTAAGCTCGGTTTCGTTAACGGGTCGGTTCTCTGAGAAAAAAGTACAGTATTTTCCAAACACAAAAATAAAAAATATGTTATTTCGACTGCAAATCATCAATAATGTGAGGCAAATTTAAATACTTTAGCTTTGGCCTTGATTTCGGCCGCATTTAAAAAGAGAACCCAGCCTCTAGATTTGGCCAAAATGTCGGGATTTCGTTATTATATGGAGAGGTGCGTTCACGCACACGTACCTGCTTAACTAGGAATTATTTTATATTTTTTATTACATACTACATATGTACGTATATTTTAAAAACTCTCACATTATAGTAATAGTTGACTAATTAGATGGAAAATAAGTATGAAAAAATCTTTGCAGATTTTAACTTGTACAACAACACACCTGCATGCAATGGTGAGTTAGTCGGAACTTAAAGTGCCGCATTTCAAAAAGCTGGTGAATATGACTCAAAAGATGGGAAACCGCGGATATGGCAAGTTAAAAACTGAAAATAAATAGATTTTTATATTTTAAAGAAAAACAGTTTCGAAGTTAGCGTTTAGATAACTATTAATTAACTTTAGTTATTATTAAGTTGTAAAATAATGTTAAAATAACATAAAATAATATTAAAACAGATATATAGAAATTTAAAAATTTTTATTCTTATAAGGTACTTATGGGACTTGTATTAAAAATTTTATTAAAAAGTATAGATAATTGTTGAGTAGAGGAGGGAGGAGGGAATGTATTCACCACTGACTAAAGTGTTTGAAATTTTGTTTCGATAATTTCGAATCGCAGAGTACAATGCCGGCTCCAACAGCGGGGGGGAGGGGGCTACTTTTATACCATTCATAAACATGTATTTTAACTTTGGTCTGATGTTTGTAAGTACAAGAAAAAAAGATATGCCCATGCAAATGTTGACCAAAATTATCAGAACGTTTTGAACGTTTGCACGCAATCTTTATCCCTCAGTTTTTGAGATACCCAACTGAAATTTGATAGTTGTATTTTTATAACGTATTCATCATTTTTCGAAACCGGAAAAATCGGACAACTATCTATACCTTATGTATAGCTCCCATAAGCTGATTGTTTAGATATGAGATTTTTTTTTATAATGCCTCATTTTCACTTGGCATTAAATGGCAATAATTGTAATGACAATGTTGGGCATTAAAAAATATTCGTGTCATTACGTTAAAAAAATAGTCATTAAATTCATTTCCACAAGGCATTTTTTAAATGCCTCCAATTTTAACTCCTTTATGTAGATAGCTTAAGCCATTAAATTGGTGTTATCGTAAAGAAAAGCATTTACCGCTCCAGTCAATCCATAAAGTTTTAGGTATTTTTTGAGTCCGGAGAGTGTTTTGCAGTTTCTGAGGAAGCGAATGTGGGCTCAAAACTTCATATAAAATTTTTTCAAAAGAATGTAATTAAAAAGTGCAATATTTTAATGAAAGTTTTCGGAATTTTCTAAAGTTTTGCACATAAGGTTTGTAGCTCCGATTTTTGGGGGTTTTTTGTGTAGAATTAACAGTAATTTTCTAAAAAAAAATAGCGAAAATATAGTACGCAGTGAAGGTAAACATTTAGCTCCCAAACAACTAATTTAAAATGCAGTAATCGGTTGAAGTAAAATTTTCTGATGTTCATGAAGGGTGTGAAAGTTCCGGCATATCCGAGGACAGCAATGCACATGTTTTTTTGGTCTTTTAGGGCAGGGGTGCTCAACAAAGTTTAGTTACTGAGCCAAATGACGCCAACGTCAATACCAATTCCAACAAAATTGTTCTTTGGATTGCAAAAAATATTTCACTCTATCGATTTGTGTTGGCTGTTGTTGTTGTAGCAACATACAAGTTCCCCAATGAGTTTTTGGGGAGTGTTGCTGGAGTGACACTCCTTGGCCAAATATAAATCTGGGTCGTTCCGGTTACGCAGACCCGACTGTCGTGGGAACGTGAAAAAAACTGGCTCTTATAGTTCGCTTAACAAGTAATGAAGGGGAGTTTACATTTCAAAAGATTTTGGCAAACATTTTTCTTAGTTTCCTCAATTTGATAGGCTTCTATAAACATTAAAATACAATCAATTTACCCTGGCGGAATTTCTTGAGTGACCGGCCACTACTTGTTAGAGCAACTTACTTAGCTGATTGGATTTTTTTGTTGAAAAAATAAAACGGAAATAAGCAAACATTAATAGTGTAATCAAATTTTAAAGAAAAAAAAAGAAAGCTAAGGCGCAATGTAAGGACTACAAATGCATATAAAATTCTTAATTAAATAAACCTAATTGCTAAAAAGTTAAAATGGTCAGTTAGTTTTTCTGCTTCTCCAAAGCTAGCATGGATGCCAATACGTAAAATCACAGTAACGTGAGTTCTTATACTTCAAAATTTCACTCTCGCTTTTTAAGTTCACTTTTTGGTAGACTACGGTCACATAAATGACTTTGAAAGATTTCAGTTGCATACACGGCCCTGATAAAAGGGTGTTAGAAAATAATTCTGCTATGATTTCACTGCCTTGCATTGCGAGAAATTTAAGCTCAAAGGAATATCATAATTTTTGCCTTAATTGCCATTTCAATCAACCTTATAGGTTGTTTATCAAACTCATTTTAAATTA